ATTTTGACGTTGGAAACGCAAGAATTTTCGGCTTTCCTGGAGGTATTCTGTTTTCTCGGCATCCTTCTCTATTGCTGGGCTTGTAGAACACTCTCGCGAGAGCACCTCTCCTTCCTAACGTATCGAAGGGTATCATTTTAGACGATACCAGTAGGACTAGAGCTACAGAGCCTATATCCTTTGCAGAGACCAGCGAGGATTCTGTCGATTAGATCACATAACACTGTGAAATAGCGAGAAACAACGATGTCGGACACAATCGTCGGAAAGAAAGAAAGGACGGAAACTATCAAGGGAAACCTAAGATGGGCCGCCCTTTTCCTTGGAGAGCTTCGTGATGGCCTTACAATGGTGTGTTCTGTGTTAGAGTCTTTGGAATCGCAGGGCTTCTTTCGTGCAATCGCCATTTGTCTCTCATGATGTTTTGACTGTATTCTTGTTTGATGGTATGTTGCTTGTTGATCTTACWTTCTACCGCCATGGAACGATTATCCGATTCGTTTGATGGTCCCTCGATTCGAATTAACACTATACATGCAAAAATGACTTTGTCGACTAYGGCGTCGACATAAATACCAACATGACGGAAACAATAGATCAACATGCAAAGTGCTTTTTTGATCGTAGCCAAGGGATATTCGGAGAAACAGGTCGGAATCTTGTTTTTTGTTTTCGGAATGTCGCAATTTTTGTTCCAGGCACCCGCCGGATACCTTTATGATTATACCGAGCAGAAATTGCTCTGGCTCTCGGCGGCCGGCGTTTTGACYACCATGTTGACTGTGTTTACTGCTATGTTTGCGAGYGACAACAACTTTATCCTCATGGTTCTCGTAAAATTTGTTCAGGGAGGAGTGACCTCTTTCATCCCACCCGGTTTGAACAGTATCACACAGGGAATCGTGGGATCGRTTGGAATGACGCAACAGGTMTCGGTCAACGAGATGATGAATCACTTGGGAACGGCTATCTTGGTACTCCTCGGCTCCATCGTGGCCTACTTATTGTATCCCAACATCGGACTTCTTTTCGTGGTCAGCCCGATTGCGTGCGTTTTGTTCGTTTTCTTTTTGAACAAGATCAAGCCCGGAGATATCGATCACGATGCTGCGCGTGGCCTCAAGAAGGAAGCCGGTGGAGACAGCGACAAGAAGGACACGCCATACGTTCCACCGGGCGCCGAGGAAAGCATTGGTGGCGCTTCTTCAGCAACCGGATCGGCGAAGAATGTCAAACATAACCCTAGCTTCAATTTTGGTTTCGCGAATCCCGAGGAGGGGACTAATGGGGAATCACAGGCAGACACTCCCCTTCAAGTTCTACGAGACCCTATTCTTTTGCTTTTCATCGCCGTTTGTTTCCTCTTCCATACGTCGAACGGAACCGTCCTCCCATTGGTCATGCAAACGTTGGCAATCGGCAATGGTGAYCTAGGTATCTTGATGAGCGGTTTGTGCATCACTATCGCACAAGTTGTAATGGTGTTTGCTGCCAAGATTTGCGGTACCTATTCCGGAAAGTACGGCCGAAAGTGGCTGTTTTTGATCGGCCTCGGAATTGTTCCGATCAGGTGCGCCATTTTGGCCGGCCTCTTGACGCTCAAAGGCGACGGCGAAGCCACTTTCTTATGGCAAACTATCACTTTGTCGACACAGATCTTGGACGGTGTTGGTGCCGGGATTTTCGGTACTATGTATATTTTGGTTACCAGCGACATCAGCGGAGGAACTGGCAGATTCGGACTCACACTTGGATTAACAACGGCTGCCATGAGCATTGGTGGAACTGTTTCCGGATATCTGGGTCAAGCGTTTGCTGAGGACTACGGTTACCTCAGAGCCTTTTGGATTTTGTGCGTCATGTCCACCGTTCCAGCATTATTGTACCTTTTTTTCATGCCAGAAACTCTCTCCATGATAGAGAAAGAAGGTCYTATCCCCGCCATTGCAGAAGACGAAGAACACAATTACTCTTCAGAAAAAGACAAGAAATACGTCGAATTGACTTAAGAAGAACACGAAACCAAAACCTATCGTCGTTTTCTTYAAGATCGATGATACCTTTTGTGCTTGTGTAGCTTGCCAATTAGTTCTTGGTGAGGACGGCTCGCTCAAATTTGATACATACGACACTCGATATGATTACATTTTTCAATTACAAGACATCGACCTACACGAGTTGTAGGACGTAAACATTGCAATTTTTATAATATACACAAAACAGTTTCTGACGTTTTAGACAAGAAGGGCCTCTGTCCAGATTGAGATTTGCACCTTCGTAGTAGCACATTGTGAAGAGACACGAATAGGATTAGACTCCAATAGCGGCAGAATTCTAATAGCGAAAGGAGAGTTTCAATTTTTTACAACAACCATTACTACGAGCACATGTTGATGGCGAGCTTGCTTTATCCGCATTTTTGGTGTTTTGACGTATTTTTCATTATTCGTTACATATACCATAACAAACCATACCGTAATTCGATCATTGCAATMACTGAAATSTGATGTCTCACTGAGTGCTTGATCAATTCATTACATCCCTATKTTTGGGGTCCCCTTGATGTAGTGGCTTTTTCTACCTTTCGTCTGCTCGCTCGCTTGTTCGTTTGTACTATTCATTCAAAGGAACGAGCGAAATTTAGGTTTCTAATCTTACTATACGGTCGTCGACGTGGCATCGAAAAGGTTACTATACATAGAAATCTTTTTTAGCCCTTTCATTTCCCCAAATTTTGCTGCCAACATGGCCACGCCTTCTCCCGTAATTTTGTTGTGGTTTAGCATGATTTCTTCCAGGGTCTTGTTCTTGCACAAGGCCTCGACGATGAGTGTGAGGTGGTTGTCGTCCAGGGAATCATTGTCCAGATCCAGAATCGTGAGACTTTTATTGTTCCCAAGCGCTTCTGCAAAGTTGGTAATGTCAAATTCTTCGCCCGGGTCGATGTGCTGGAAGCTTAGGTCTAGGATTTTCAGTTTCGCCCTTCTGTTCTTTATCATCCTGGTCAGCGACGCGAGCCCCTTGGAACGACACTTGTTGCCAAAGATCCTCAGTTCCTCGAGCCTCAKGGGGAGGTGCCTCAGCATACACCCAAGATGGTTGTCGTCAAGGCCGCATCGACTTGCGATGAAGCAGGTCAAGCTCTTGTTCCCCGACAACCCCGCCACCAGCGCCGGAACGTGCTTGGACAAATCTAGAAAGTCCAGCTGCAGCTTTTTTAGGCACTGGGAGAACATTATCGACTGCATGGTAAAGGCCGTGCTCGATCTCCACTCCAATCCCGTCAGGTGGAGGTAGGAACAATTGTCTACGTTGAGGATACCGGATAAAACCAAGTCGAGGAATTTGGGTGTCGCRGGGGTAATGTTGGTATCTTCGTTTTTGTTTTCTTCGCCTTTGTCATCGTTTTCTYTGTCATCKTCGTCACCATTTTTCTCGTTGGCTTCGTCGTTATCCTGCTTCGCACTCTCATTGCTGGTACTMGGACCGGTGCTACTGGAGCATCCGTCTAGGACGATGGAATCCCACCGTGCCTTCTGTCGCAAAATATCCACCGCGATTGCCTCCCAAGAACGATTGTCCCCCCGGACCAGTTCCAGAAACGCGCACGCCACGGATTTAGATATGGTCACTTCCTTGGCGTAAATGGACAGTTTTCCCACGTCGTTAAGCGAGGCCTTGAGATCTGCAGTCGGGGAATTGGCCCCKACAAAAATCTGCGTCGACCTGGAATTCGGAGCCGCCAGGGGCTTGACGTTTTCGTTTTCCGCGGTCCGGATGGTTTCCACCGTGAGTGTGGTGTACACCGAACTCAAGTCAGAGTCGTCACCAGCGTCGCTGTTGTCCTCGTMGCTCTCTTCCACRATACTACTAACGACGCTGTATTCGTCGCTCTCGCTTCCCGCGCTCACATCGCTCACAAAGCTCTGAAAATTCTTCATGCGCAGGGAATAATGAGAGAGCAAGGAAGGCCGTCCCGCCCCCTTCAGTTTCTCGTTTGTCCCGCCATCGTCTTCAACTTTCTTCCTGCTGGCCCCGAGTAATCGCTCGCTGAAACCTCGAATCATAGTTGCSTGCTACGACAACGCACTCAACCCCAAGTTTTGCCAACACTCCGAAACAAACAACGTTMTGTTGGAAATAGTTTGACTGACTCGAGTGCATTCCAGTTATGCCTCCAAGTTGCGAAACCGYCACGCCTGTGATATTGCTTTCGTTCCTCTTGTCGAACCACAGGATCACCAAACWCAACCGTAACGTGCGATATCGGTAGCACTATGATGTGCAACGGTACGAATCGAAGCAAGAAAACAACATTTGACTTGATTGAATTATTGTTTTTGAGAACGGGKTGTGCGAGGTTTTTCGACAACAAAAAATGAACAAATTTGGCAYATTATTTTGGTTCGGGCTATTTAATTTGGTATTTTAGTCGTTGCAATAGCTGCAGCAATGACATTCTTTACTAGCTCCCGCGCGCAGGAACGTAGGCTACGGTATGTACGCACGTACGGCACGTTTTTGCAGCTACGCTACCGGCCGGTAGCTAGCTACTCCAAAGCTGCCGTCCCCTACCGGCCTGTACGTAAGTACCCTACTCTGAGAAATTCTCCTAAAATTATTTATTTGTCCGGTTACGACTCACTCGAACGTCAACCGTGAGTACGAAGAGTCAAAATCRAAATTTGATTCGACTAGATCGACCAAATGAGGAAACAAAGCGACAGAGCGTCGGTCTAGCAACACAGCACAGACGAAAGAGGCAGCGAGCAGCGAGCAGCGAGTTTGGAACGCAGCATGATGTAACGTACTACAGGTACATACAGTTCTCGTACTGCGTAAGCTAMGTATTATTATTGTGTATGTTACCGTAGAAATGTACTGCTACAGCGGCAACAACGCCGAGAAACAAAACATCGCAAACGCCCATCGCAAACAGGCAGCATCAACAACAGCATCGAAAACCTTGCGGGTRTCGATTGATCGTTGTTGGAATACAATYAGGTATATTCACRTACCGGTTGCYGTACCAAAGAMGACGCCCCTGTGCGCAGCATATCAAAGCGAATATTATTTTGCCAGTCTGGCAGTTAGTTAGTTGTTTCGTCAGCTGGCTTGATTTTTAGTAGGTGAATTCGATTGCCAATCCAATCCAATCCAATACGCTCCACGCTCCGCACCATGTTCTCYGCATCCCGCACCATCGCCCGCAGAACCGCTGCGGCCTCCGCCCGAAGAAACCAGGCGCAGACCCAGATCAAGCGCAAGATGGGATCCGACATGCCGGTTCCGCAATCCCAGAACGCCCCTCTGTGGCACGGCCACACCGTAAAGCACGAGGGATGGGAGGAATACATCTATTTCTACTACGCCGCTGGTCTGGCCCTTCAGGCCGCCGTGCTGCTCGGGGCACCAGAAACCTCGATCGAATCGTGGGCCCGGTCCGAAGCCAAGGCTCGTCTGTACCTGGCCAGTGAGGAGGGCGGTGCCCAGACCGAGTTTGCCTTTGGTACGCACTACCAAGACCTGGTCAAGAAACAGCACGAAGACCTATGGACCAAGTTCAACGAGAAGTCTATTATTCCTGGAGAAGATGATGATGATGACGACGACGAAGATGACGATGAGGATGACGACGATGACGACGACGAGGTACGTTTTTGGGAGCAAACAGCACCATTACAAAAGGACTTTTTTGTCAGGTTTCCGCTTCTTGGGAAACTTCTTATAATGTCATTGCTTTCCTTTCTTTTCGTTTTCGTTTTGTTTCGTACCACATCTGTACATATACTTGACTCGACTCGGTTCACGTTGCATTCTTGTCTTCGACGAAAAGGACGAGGAAGAGTGAACCAAGTGATTTATTTATTTTCTCTACGAATAATATGAATCGGCATTGCGCAGTCGTAGTATAATGCGGCGTTTCGGTCATCTTATGCGATGCAACGTGWTCAGGCATCATATTCCCTGCTTTGACTCGGTCCAGCTCTTTTTTGCTTGGAAAACTCATGGAACGAAACGGAATATTCCTGTCTTCAAAAAAATACGAAAAAAAATAAAATGAAAGCATCAAACTTTCCATCTGTTACATCTAGCAAAGCTCTAGCCATTGCTCAAAATGAGAGGATGGAATTTAGTGGTCTCGTTTCCCTTCGTTAGATAAATCGATCGAGAATTGAGTTTTGATTTAGAGCTCTGGAGTGGACAGACGTTCATAGATCGATCGAAGGCCTGTTTTGATAGATATCTTTTTCGAATCATCGAGAACACAATTTGCACACAATTTGCACACAATTTACACACAATTGATTCGAAGTGCATGACACGGGTGTTACAGGTATTATCAATGCAATGCGGTGTGTCGCATCGTTTCCCTTGCTCTACCTTTAMAATATAAATCCAGCGAGCTCTTGATGTCCTTCGTCTATGGTCGCAGCCAAGCGCATTGCTTTAAGATCGAGCCATGGCATTCCTCAAATCTCCTTATCCTTTGCASCTATGCCCAACAAAGTATCGCACGATGGAGTCCGTTGGCACCCGTGACTTTCATAGAGCTCGCGCGCGTGTTTCGTTGGTACCGTGCTACGGTATTGGAATGCCCTGTATGTTTTGGGGACTGTTCCGCGGTGTTCCTTTCTAGGTGAAAGACAATTAGGTGCAATACACTGCGATTTAGTTTGATTCATAGTGACATCCCGAAGAAAGAAAGGAGAAGTGTAGAATCAGAGACGCTTTTCCTATCCCTAATCGATCTAGAACAGCCTCGGAGGTCGTGGATACTTCTTCGGGTTGTTCTCCACGAACAACATCAGTCGACAACAAGCGCGAAAAGGCGGTCTGTTGCACAACTAAGTAGCAAAAAGTAATCGGGACTGGCTTCTGATCCTGTTTTTGGATGGCATGCAAGGATATGCGTCCCAAGAACACGGAGGCTCCGGCCCAGAAATCCCCCCAAAAGCTATTGTGTCGCAGTTAGGTCTTGACGATAGTCAGTGATATTCTTGACTTGAACTACCGCTGGCGATAACCGAACCATTCTTCTCGATCGAACTTAGTAAGAGCGAAGTGAAATTCTATGTGYGACTCTTCAATACCGTTTCAATGGGGCTTTCCWCAAACCATTTATAGTGCATCGTAGATCCGAATCCGTAAGGGAGTTCTTTAAAAAAGAAAACGATAATTGAGGTGTTCTAATGGTCTCCATTCGATGATGACAAGCTTATTAATTGGGATGACGAATGCATGATATTGTTCATAACATTGCATACAATATTATTCATTGGAWMTGGGGATCCTTATTTAGCATTTGAAAACTACCACTTGAAAATCTTGATTTGGTCTGGTTTCTCGACAGAAGGGACGTAAAAAATGACATAAAATTGTGGGTCTGACAACTTCAACAACCGTACGTACARTTTGAAGACGACAGGTTCCTAGGAACCTTCATGAACAAATTCAGAACGGTTAAATAATRTTGAAAGCAATATACCACTGCATAGGCATAAGAAATGAAGCCGAAAACATGTAACAAAATTCAGGGTAGAGAACTTGAAGGCCCGGTTGCTTCCGAATGTTAACATTGTRAATTACTTCGTACTCCCCAGTACAGTATGTACGCCAGAAAAATTCTTCGTAATGTATTTCGCATTTTCTACTGTAGTACCGGTATGGCCGTTGGAGATACAATAATTGGAGACTGTCGTACTTAATAGGTGTTTGGTGACGTGAGATTTGATAAGAATTGATGTTTTCGTATTTTGTTGGCAATTCATTTAGGGGCAYACATAGTCACACAGGAACGGAAAAGAACCAATTAAATAGGGAAGCTAACTTGAAATGATTGCTTCCCTTTTGTTTTTAATTCGATGGATGTACATCCTGGAACGATATGGAAATTCTTATCCTACTTCTGATCGTAAAACGCGCGGCTGATTTTTTGGAAATCAGCATTTTTAGATAGGCCGGTTTAGATGGGCTAATCGTGATTGACTATTTTAAGAAACAGAGGCTCATCGAATAATTTTCTGCATGGTCTCATAAAACTCATCCTGAAGCACAAAAGGAAACCCTCCAACGAAAGGAACCGTTCCAAACTCTAACAGATCCAATTAGCTATAATGATGTCAATCGATATGATCAGGATGCCAAACCAGGAATTTCCATTAAGACCGATGTCGCCGCCGACACGACAAATCGTTCCCGGACCATTCGACGTGATTTGCGCGCGAGGAAAGCAAGCATACAACCACGAAGGTGTAAGTGAGACCATTGACGATAATTGGCCAAAGATCCTRAGAATATGTTGTTGCAATCTTTCGTTAATAGAAAATCTCTGACATCGGCTATCCTTCTTCTGTCACTGTACCCGCATAATCCACGACTTATAGAATCGCTTTTTTCGACAAATTATCAGCCTTGCCACCGAGAAATATGCGAAAGTCGAAAGCAAATTACAGCGGTCGATGATTGTTACGGACATTGTCGACGCAATCCRCACGAAGGGGAACGGGTTTATTCGCCAAACAAGCAAGGGCGAATGGGTTCAATGCTCCGATGTGATGTGCCGTGAAAAGGTCGGCCAACATTTTCGCAACGCATTGGGATGTCGATACAAGTCTAGCACAAAATCAAAACAACGCTCAAAGGAATTATCAATTCCTCGTCTGGTAGAGAACCTGCACAAAATAGTCTTTTCGAGTAAGGCGGTCAACCAAATCACCGAACGGCTTGCTTTGGATTTAGTTTTTGTTGACGAGGARTCTGAAGACGAGTTCTACGAAAAAGCATTCGCAGCCAACATTAGTTTGTTGGAAACTTTCAAAGAAGAAAAGAGTTTGGTGCAGCAATGCCAGCAGTCGCTTAATTTGGAAGAACAGCCAACCGTACCATTGAGCACTACGAGGAAAGAAAAAAATTGCAGACACGCATTGGCCGCATAGTAATACMATGCCAAAATATCGAGCACTTCCTCAATGAATCCCTCCGAACAATACAACATCATGTATATTATTACAATACAACTGTAACAATAAGTGTATAATACAGCCTTACAATAATATTACATCATTGTATCAATAATTCAGTGCACTCGTTCGGTGATCAATTAACCAATAGAATGAGGATCGGTTCCTACCACACCTATTCCCGAAACAAGCAGAAGCACACCGACCCATCCTTGGAGATCGAGACCCTCCCCAAGCACAAATATCCCGATCACAGCACCAAAGGCAACGGATYCGCCTATCAAAATCGGTATCGACTGTGTTGCCTTTACACCCATGCCCGACACACCGAAAGAAAGCAGCTCGGCGATGCCCACAGCCACTCCAGCAAGACTTGACCATAGCACTCCCGAGGAATCATAGTGCAACACAGTCCTTGCTTCACCGCCGCCTTTGTTTCGAACGTTTTCGTTCCACACCAAAATGGCACCGAGTGCACACAAACCAAAGATCGCGGCAACGACCTGTAGTATTACCCCACCAACGATTGGATGAACGGAACTCGACCCCTGTTTAATGCCAATATTGTAKAATGCATACGCCATGGCACAGCACAAGGCCAAGCTAAGCCAGACAAAGAGTGGTGCCGATGGCAACGGTGCACCCTCCCTTCTGTCCTCAAAGTCGTTGCTGTGGCTATAGAGGTGCTCATCGGCGGCGGTGGACACCAATATAATGCCCAGAGTTAGCATCGCCACACCGAACCAACCGTGCGTCAAGACCATGGATTCCTTCAGGCACAACGAACCAAGCACCGCTGCAAACAGGACGGATCCACCAACGATAATAGGAATCGATTGCGTCACGGGAACTCCCATCGGCCCCGACACGACAAAGGATATAATTTCCGCAACTCCTACCCACACACCGGCGCCAATCGACCACCAGATTCCATCCTTTTCAACCCGGACCGAGATGCAGGTATCGTCGGAACTTTTTTCACCAACGATATAACCGTCTTGTCTTTGGTTGTTCTCGCTGCTGCCTTGGTGACGATTCGTTTCTGCCGGTGGGCTCAGTTTCTGGTACACCAAAAGAATTGCCAGGGCGAGACCACCAAAGAGTGCCGCGACACATTCCAAGACGACGCCCCCGAGGATCGGGTGGATCGTGGCCGATCCCTTTTTTATACATACGTTGTAGAGCGCGYACGCAAGGGCACACAACAGAGCGGGGTGTATCCACTTCGACACCGGGGGAGGAGGGGAAGCAACGATCGGAGCGGCGGTGGTGTCAGTTGGTTCTCGTCCCGTGAACCGCTCCCGTTGGAGCAGGAATCCGGTAGTTTCGGTGGGATGGTTTGTGGTGTGGCTTAGCCGGACTGACATGCTACCACGTAGATCGCTCGGTACGTACTCGTACTCTCTCTCTCTATCCGGACGGAAACGTAAGTCTTTTGGTTGCGGCCTCAAACGCCGTGTTTCTCTCTGCTACTCATCGGCCCCGATTACATTCGCTTCGGATGTCTTTCCTCGTACTGGAGTTGACTATTGCGATCAACCTTGTGGGTAAAATAGCGGGTGTAGGATTGGGTAATTCGTACTAGTAGAGATGGATGAGCAACGGACGATGGTGTGGATGGTGTGGATTGGCGAAACAAAATCCAGCAGAGAAATGACGATTTTTGGAAAGCGATAAAAAGAGAACAGAGGGAGTGACTGATAGGCTACATACGTACGTATGTGAGATAATCACGTATGTACCGTATGTTGATTGCTAATTGCTGATTTGCGATTTGTGATTTGCAATTGCAACTGAAAATTGAAAGAGAAATACAGGATAGTAACGTACCTATGATACATACGCATATRAATATCATAYAGTACTCTTGTCAAGTTGAAAACGAAGAACGGAAGAAGAAAATTGTCTYAACTCTCAACAGACTGGTACGGTACAAACCGGTACCAGGTRCTACCATGTCGGTGAAGTACCGGTAGCATAGAAGAGAAAATAGAAAAAAGATACGTTCGCTTGTTGTACCGGACGAGCACGAGTACTAGTACTCATTCAACGTAACTTACGAAAATTCGTTGTACGCACCGTATCGCACAGATTTCCTTCTTGTTTTCCGGTTCTCTTCCTTCATGGTTGGCATACCGTTATCAGTACCACTAAACCTACGAATCTACTCCTTGGATCATTTCATTTCCCCTTCCGCAATACAAAGCACAAAAGAACCATGGCGGAACAAACCACGAAACCAGCGAGAAGAGCGAGCGTCGCCGAAAAAGTCAGCGGCAACATCCTAGGTCGGAGCAAGGGATTCAAGAAACTAGTCGACAAAATCTTCARGGCGTGCGACACCACCAAGAGCGGGGACATTTCGAAGAGCGAGCTYTATGTCGGAACATTGTCGGTCCACATTACCCTCGCCCGCTATGCGGGGCCCGCCGCGTGCTTTGTGAGTGAAACGAAACGAATCAGAGGTGAAAAGAATCATCAGCCGGAGGCGAAGCGAAAAGAATCTTCTGAGGTGGTGATTTCTCGATGCAATAGTCATTTTCGGGACGGCGGCGATTCCATCCACTRACAATTTCTTGCTGAACTATGTACTATATGCATAGTTCAGCAAGCAATTGTAAGTWGATGGAATCRCTGCTCTTGAAATACAGACAGAACGAATATCTTGATGCRTTGCTGTATCTATTGAATACTTCCGCGAAACAAACTGACATTTTGGTTTCTTCTCGTMTATCTTTCCTCGAAAATATTTATCGCCAACAATCGCCACGCYCATTTCCACACGCACATTCACATTCGCAGCCACCCACACGAGAAGTTAGCGACGAGCTCTTCGAGGCGGCCGACAGCGACAAATCTGGAACGATCAACAAGGAGGAATTCGAAAAGATACTATTGATCCTGGGCGCTCAGATYGTGTCCCGGATGGTCGTCTACTACACCGTCCTAATTCTGTTTGTGCCGTGGTTTGCCCMAAAAACCACCGATCACTTCGACTCCATTCCCAAGGGRGGATTCGTGGAGTCGGTGGCCCACCAGGTKATATCGATCGCCATCTTTGTGCTGGCGATTCCGTCGATCTGGGACGCCATCGACTCCACCACCAAGGGGACGATTCATTGGGTGAACAGTGAGAACAAAACCGACAGCAACCCRAAGCAAGARGCGGACAAGAAAGACGATTGAACGAATCGGATCGAATCAATCCGAGGTCKYGTTGCTTGTTTGTCAACGCCATGAATGTATGGGAACCATCMACAAGAATGGAATGGAAAGRAATGTGAGTCGACTTGAAAGACCGGTGTTCACGAAATTTTTCGGGAATGTCATGAAGGAACGAGAGACGACAGCAAAACTGCACTCTCGCTATTACTTGTGCTAGCATCCGTTGCGTCGTACCTTGAAACTCCTGCCAAACTATTYTTGTCCGARACGAGAATACARTCGTAACAAAAATAATTTCAATTGAAATCTCTTGCCGGCTGCAAAGAAAACCTAGGTTGCGASACCCGAARATACGCACTAGGGCATAAAATTCGTATTATAACATTACATAGCTATCGATTTACAAKGAAGGCGSGTGTTCCGATTGGGCAATTCGGACMCTTCCCCTCCCGGTGGACTGAGATGGGGATGGCGGTTGATTCCTAGAAGGCCGCGGTCCATTTTGTGTGCGGCGAGCTTTCCAMSGGCGACACGGGAATCTTCGTTCTGCTCAAAGCCGATGGCCCCTGCATCTCCCGGGAGCGCTGCCCAGCGACGCGTCCTTGGGTGACTCGCGTGTGCGTGCCACCGCGGTGCCGTMCGTTYCCCCYGTGTCATCGGATGCAAAGGGAACGGGCAGGTCGTCGCCGATGCCGATCCCGCCGACGAGCCTGGAACGCGGYGGTGTGGAGGGCGACTCGAACCGCTGGGGCCTCCGGGGATTGACGTCGCTCGCCATTGTTGTGGCCTCCGAACCGGAGGAAGCGGTGCCCCTGCCAAAGGAGTCCGGGCTTCCGCTGCCACCGGCCGTGGACCGATAGGCTTCCCCCGGTTCGGCCCTTGGATCCCTTGYGGGAACGGACACGCGGGAGAAGGACTCCCGTGCCGAGTCGGAGGGATCGATGGGGTCGAGCACCACCGGTTTCGGTGGTCTGAGGATCGATGGCCTGCCAGGGGCCACCGGGGGATGTACCGAACCCCCGGCCCGCTTCTTCCTCGCCTCCTCCAGGACCCGGATTKGGTCCAGGTAGGAACGGACATCCTCCTCGTCGCTCGCTGCGAGCCGCCGGGCCATGGCGCGGGAAAGGGCCGAGATCCGGATCGATTTCCGCCGCAGGTACTCCCAGCACTCGTCGTGGATCCTGCCRTCGGTGGAAGTCCTCTCGAACCTCCTCCCGGGGGGAGAGCCGGGGGTCCCCCCGAGAAGCGTCCACGCGTGCACCTGCGACTTCCATACCGTGTCGACGATGAGCTGGACGCGGGCTTCTTTCAGCGCCTCTCCCCGTAGGGTCCAGGATTCCAGTCCCCGCTCGCTCAACCCATCGGGCAACCGGCGCCTTTCCCTTCCGGGAACCGATCCTGCTGCTGTTGTATATGTTGTTGTTGTTGTTGTTGCCGCTGTGTCTCCTCTATCCGTATTTCTCGTTGCTTGGAAATCAAGCAGATCGAGCTCGTACAGTTCGTCCATGTGTTCGCTGGTGAGCTCGCACTCGTCTTCCATGAGGGCGTATTCGTCCGGCGAGTACCAGGTGTCCTTGATCTCTTGTAGGCTGTAGTTTTCCAGACCGCGCACCACCCTGATCCCTACGCTCTTGTCCCAGCGGATCGTCTTGCGCCTTCCCCGTCTCTGCTTAGGCCGGAGGCGGCTCCGGCACGACGAGGCTAAAGCCCGCGCCCGCGTCTGCCCCCGCTTGCCGGAACCGGACCGGCTGCTGCTATTGTTGCTGTTGCTATTGCTGTTGCTGTTGCTTTTGCTTTTGCTGCTTCTTTTTACGCCACCGGCGGTGGCTCTGCTTTGGCTCTCGGACGAGTGCGAGCTTCGCTCGCTCGAGCTCGACGCCGTGTCCGAGCTCGAGGACACCGAAAGGGGCGGCGGGGGAGGGGGAGGAGGCGACAGGCGGGCGCGTGGCTTGCGCTTCTGCTTGGAAGAGGACGGTTTTCTGGGGTTCCGGATCGGGCGTGGGTGCGGCAGCAGCCCATCGGTGGCGGGCAGCGGCCTCTCCCGCTGCAGCTGCCGCCGGCTTCGGGTGGGTTCGTTTCCGGCTCGTGCCTTGGCTTTGGGTTTGGCCTTGGGTTTGGCCTTGGGTTTGTGTCCTTCCGGCGCTGCGCTGCCTCCGGTGGTGGGCGAGTGCCGCGAGTCCCGGAGCTTCGACAGGGCGTCCTCGAAGGAGACCCTGTCGTCTTCCGGGGAGCGTTGGCCGGCGGTGGCCCACCGGCTGTCCCCGCTGCTGCCGGACCGGAACCGCCGGTGGTGTTCCATGTCCACCAGCGAAAAGATCGGGGTCATGCTATGCTTCCTTGTTGCAGTTGTTTCCCCCACGAAGGTACTGTTTTGCCGGCTCCGCACCGCTCCACTCGGCTGCTCCGGTCGCTCTCGTCTAAGGTTTTGTTCTGTTGGCTCTGTGTTCTGTGTGCATGCTTTTCATGATAATGCCACGGCGGAGAGCACAAATGCGACGCTACACTTGCGATCGATTCTTGGGGTACGGTATGTTATGTGAAAAATATTGTGATGCAAAGCATTGTCATCGATTCTCTTACTGGTACCGTACGCTATACCAAAAGTCAACTTGTGAATAAGTGGTTTACGAAAAAAAGTACTTATTGGACTGTAAAACATGTTGTTTAATGAACTTTCGAACTAGACCACACGTTCGTGATGAATACCTTGGAACGACAAAGGTAACCAGATCGGATTTGTTCCAAGAGAGACGTGGAAATAAGCTGAATATGCGATYAATAAATAATATTTGATAGCGTAAGAATCGTGGATTTTAATGTCTTTTCGTRGCTATAGAAAATATGTAGCGCGACTAAACATCAAAAATATCAAGATAATAATAGTGAAATTGAATGAACTGATCAAAAGAGATRTGTTTGTTTAATTACCTGGTMGTACTTTCATTACAAGTSAGAGGCCACGATTGACCATGTCACACAATTCTGATCTACAAATAAGGAATTGTCTCATTTCTGTCGACCGATATTATACCCCACCGTATCAATCCCAAGAGGGCCAAGAGGGGGTTCTATTCTGATACCGTATTGCGATGCTCTACGACCTTCTATGCACATCGTTGTCGAAGGAAWGAATGCGTTCCGGGAACGAAAAAATCTTCCAACTTTTCTAGTGGCTCTTTCGATRTCATTGATAAAAACAAACTTGTAATAACAAAACGGCACTAACGAAGCTTGAAATTTTTAAATACGGTACACTAGATGCAATAAGAACAATAATAGTGCTGCGGTACGAATTCATTGCACGGTACTGTGGGTTTTCAGAATAAGAAGTATCTCTGACGCGATCAAAAAGAACATTTAAATATCGTGCCTTAGGGCATATCCAAGATACCAAAGTAYTGCACATTAATAAAGTATCAAAGTAATCTACAGTAAAAAATACAAAATACGGTACTACAAGTAGAGTGAGAAACTATCTACCGTACGTACCGAAGGTATCGATCCATAAAAAATCCATAAAAAATCTTGACGGTAAGAACCCTAACACTAATGGTATTCAAAAATAATCGTCGTCTTTCACTCTGCGAGGAAAGGAAGAAATAGCTTCCTCATTTTCAGTCAGAAATCTCGATCGTCAGTCGACAGGTGATTTTTGGGGTTTTCTTTTTGCCGCAGCACGAGTATGATTGCGTACGGTACGTACGAGTGCTCTACTAGTGATTCTGTTTTTTCTTCCCAGGAAGTACTCGTACGCTACTAGGAATCGGATCGCATTGCCGAGATAAAAAGGAAGCAACTRAAGACAAGTACTCGTGTCMTTTGCCCTACCGATAGATCTCTTCGGTCCCGCGCTATCACAGAGAAGTACGTACCGGTAGCTTCTCCGTGACCAAGCAACACCACACGCAGACGGAGCCTTTCCCCTCCCTACCTGTGACAACASCAGCGCTTTCTGAGCAGCATCGAAGCATGGTTCGATCGCCGCCACCCCTCTCCCGTCGGTGGGAACCCTTCCTCCTKATGRTCGCATCGCTTTGGGGATMCTCCCTGGCCATCCAGCTGAAAACGACGTCCCCGAGGCTGGCGRCATTCGGCAGCGGCTCGTTGCAAGATTTTGTGTCGCGCCCGATACACTGGCCAGAAATCGTTCTGAGTTCGAACCGTGTCGAGGTGGTGAAAGCGAGGCAGCGGCAACAATCAGGACCAAAAGGAGGCCCACTCTCGTCGGTCCGGGCACTCTTCGGGAGSAGCGACTCCAATGGGAACAACCCWAAAGCACCGGTGGCAAGACAACCCCACGCCTCGGCCTCGGACGCCCTCGGGTCGCTCGAGGTGGGTGACACCGTCCTGGAATACTTTGCGCTCAACCAGTTCGTGGTGGAATGGACCTGCACCGAGAGCGAGCCGGGGAGGCTTGTCGTGGTATCGAAAGACGGCGTCGGGGGCATCGCTACCGATTGCGCCATGGAGTTTGGCTTCGACGACAACGGACCCAACGGCGGATCCGTGGCRCTGACCATGGAATACACACCGRAATCGCCCCTCGCGGTGCTGGCCACACCGGCGCTCGTGGTGGACAACTGGCTGGCGCTGAACGTCCTGCTGCCGGCSGCGGTCGATGCCACGCCGCTCGAATCCTTTCGGGCCCTCATGGGGGTTCTGTACGGTTTCGCCGGTGCGGCCCACTTCCTCGACCTGGTGGCGGGCGGATCCCAGCTGTTCACGGGGGTGATCGGGATTCCCTCCTTCTGGGACCTGGAACTCCCGGGCCGGCTCTGCGCCCTGCTGTGGTGCGCGGCGGGGCCGGTGGCGTACGCCCTCTCTCGCATCCCAGAGCCGGATTCGGAWKCGGGTTCCGGCCCCTCGCCGGCGGACGCCGGGCTCGTGGCGTACGGAGCGGTCGAGGTYCTCGGCGCGGTGCTGGCCAGCGGGATCGACGGGGCCGCGGCYGGCACGGTGGCCAACTCGGTCGGTGTCCAGGCGGTAGTCCTCGCGGCCTGGGTGTACAGCCGGCAAAAGCAGAACCGGCGGCAGGAACAAGCGCAACAGCAACAACAACCACCACAACAATGAGCGAGACTCCCGCGTGGCCCGGTAGCTTTCTTGCACTCTGTCCAACACGATGCATTGGGTTAGGAACCAACCACGGCGTGTRGAAATCGCCACCGRTGCCCCCGGGACGAGTCGCTGYGGGGCATGGAGGGAACTCCCTGTTTTCGAATGAGGCAGCTAATTTTACAGATTACTCGCCAACTGAGCCAGCCGTGGCACTGGATTCCCTCTATGGGTGCCACGTCKAAGACAATCCCGACATTTATAGTACCTATCCCGCAATAAGASCCCTTCCTATTCTATCTCGCAACGACAGGGAAGAGAGTTGCCCAATGGAACAACCTACTACGCCTTGTTCCATACGGCAGAGTTCACAAGAAATTTGGTCTCGTCTCTTCCTGTTGTTGGTCTGCTTCTGGTCTCTTTTGTATAGTAATTGTTCTCGTGGTTGAGGTCGAGTTCATTTGTTCRGGAAAGCAGACGGAATTGTAGGTTTCCTCGTCATTCAATTGGAATTGGTTTGGCTCTCCTCTAGCTCTTGTGGTTGCTCTCTTGTGCTAAATGYCTTCCCTCAGACTCGTGCACTGCTACATAACAAGAAAGAATACAGGAATTCYTGAGAAAGCACTTTGCAGTCATCTCTATTTTAGTACACTAGTACTCTATCAGTAGCTGCATCAGATGGAATCATTTGAGTTCCCAATTCCCAATTGGTGAAGGGTGAATCCTTATGTTTCTCTGATGAAAATATGTGAGTCTGGGTACATGATGAAATGGGTCCTCTTTGTACCACTCAAGATGTGGTTCCTGGCATGGACCGATTACTTCATCTAGTCACTCTGGTGGAGGCTCGTCACCAAGGTCAGAAATCGGAGTTTCCGACCGTTTCTGGTTTGAATAGTTCTGTAGCAAGAAAGAGTTGTGATTATTCGTAATGCGTAGAGGCGTGTGAGAAAAATCAAAGAAAAGCGCGGAACGAAAACGTTGGCGTTTTCTGAACCGGGCACCTAYGAATGACAGACGTTGATTTCTGTTTTCGAAGAAGAAGAACGAATGGGACTTGACTTGTTGAATCGTTCCACCGTCCCCCCATCCCATCATCCTCCAATAGAAAGCTGATCTCATCTGACATCACAGATCCTCATCATCGTTCCATTGTTTTTTTGTTTTTTTTTGCCAACGGTTCGTTCTGCAGCGTCTTGTYGCATTAGTAAGACAACAACGAGTACGTACCAGTAGTTGTTGTAGCTACCGAGAACGCAACAGAATCAGCCGCCTTGTCTTCACGATCACTGGCAACAAGCGAGTCCGGAAACAACAAAGAACAAAGAACAAGCGACGCTCAAGAATACGAATACGAATACGAATACGAATACGAATACAAAATACGAAAACGAAAGCGAACACGAACTCAACGAACGCCGGAGACAGAGCAGTACGGTACTGTGCTTCGCAAACCCAGACAACATGGCGCCCCCGTCCTCTTCTAACACTTCCAGAATCGCAGCCAACGACGGCACTTGCGGCCGACGAAGAACGCGACGCAGCCGAATGGGCATTCTGGTTTCGTTCCTGGTTGTGTCCCAGGGCCCGGCTTCCGCTTTTGTGTGCACATCGCCGCTGGCAACGCCGGTGCAATCCAGCCACCCGCCGTCGATGCRCGCGTCGCTCTTCGTTCCCGGCCCGCCCCTCGAGGGTCCGGTTCCAACGAGCACGTCGCTGCACGGAGGCAGGGGAGCTCTTGCAACGAATGCCACGCAGCAACACAATTCCGGGCACGAACACGAACACGAACACGAGGAACGATCCCCGTCGTCCGTCGAAGAATTGCTGCGGTTCCACGAATAYGGGGAACGGATCGTGAAACTCGCCTTTGACAAAACCGATGGAAGCTTCCTCGGGGAACGGTTTGTGTCCCGAAACGGAGGCGSGGAAGATGCAGGATCCCCGTCCCCAAGCGAAAGCGAAAGCATCTACGCAGAGGTCCAAGACGGAGGAATTGCAAGGATCTGCCGGATCCTCAGGATCATGCCTTCACCGCCCGCGAAAAAGAAGGCCGGCGGACAAAAGCCGAACTCGCTCCGGGCCCCCCGCCTGGAGGTCGGATTCTTCCGGGACGACGACAAAGACGGCGGGGATTCCGAAACAAAGACCATTGATCTCGGGCAGATCACCACCATATGGACGGGCCTGGAGGACGAGCTCGGGGAGCGGAGGCTTCGGAAAAAGAACCAATCGACGGACACGATTTGCGGAAAGGTCCAGGAGTGCCTCCCCGTCAACCACGTGGACGAGTCCTTCGAGTGCAGGTACAAATACCACGTGGGACGGGGCAGAAGCGCGCAGGGCATGACCAAGAAGCAAACCAACATGATCAGCGCGGCGGCATCCGTCGCGGCGTCCTCCAACTCCTCGACCTTTGAGGAAACCGAGGAACTCCGGGTCGCCATCGATCGCATCCTGAAGCAGTGCGTCCGCTGCGGATCCAAGTACTCCCGGCTGATGGATTCGGAATCCCTGGAACGATGGATGTTTTACGTCGACGTGGAGGGATCCATCGTGAAAAACCACACGAGGGATACGTCCATGATCGAGAGACGGATCTTTTGCGCCAGGGCACTGGCGGAGGACGCGGAGCGGGCCGGGAGGTTCAAGCGAACACCCTGTGTGTGGCTGCCACCGCCGGCCGATGGCAGCGAAAGCGGCGGCGACGAAACGGTGCTGACCCTCCTKAACGGGGGCTGGACCGTCGTCGACCAGAGCGTTCGGGCCGCCACCGAAGCCCGCAACTTTGTGGACAAGGCAATGAACAAAGGCAGCGGGCCAGCGATCGGAAARTCGTCGTCGCCCTACGACCCGAACAACGAACGAATTCTTTGCCGGCTGGAATCCCTGGCGTGCGGAGAAAAACTCCGAAAGCAACAGCGGGGAGGCAACGCCGGTGGCGGGAGCATCAAGCTCGAGGTAGACGTGAGGACGGTGCTCGAGACGATGAATCTTCCGCTGTCCTCGGAGGGGGCACGGGAAGCCCTGATTCGGATGGGGAGGTGGACGAAAACGGGATCGGTCTCGGAGAACGGCGAGACGACAACCCAATACGAGCGCTGGTCCCCAGAGGTTTTGGAAGCAGCAAAGTGGTACACCCTCATGGATGGCATTCGGCGGGAGGAAATGAAATCCGAAATCCTGGAACGCCGATCCGGAACACAAGCGGCCAAGAAAAATTCCCCCTCGGCCCTCGAGGGACGCACCGATCTCACCGGTCTCCCTTGCATTTGTGTCGATGCCCAGCGGGTTTCCTTCCGGGACGATGCCTTCGGCATCCGAAAGCGTTCGTCCACCGGCCGCAAGGTCAAGAAAGAGGCATCGGAATGGGAATTRATGTTCCACATCGCCGATGTCTCCGACATTTACTCGCCCGAGCCGGTGGTAGTGGGCAGCGCCTGCGCCTCCGGTGYCACGGAAGGCCAACCCACGGCGGCGAAGACACCGATCAAAGACCAAAAGAAGCATCTCCGGGAACTCGAAAAAGCGGCTCGCAGTCGGATYAGGAGCGAATACAATCTCCCCCTGGGACCGCTGCATCTKCTTCCCACGAATGTTTTGGCCTCGTTGTCACTCGACGCCTTCAAGCAAGACTTCTCGAGTGACCCATCGACCTGGCCCACSTCTTGGCAAACAATGGATCGAGAACACGGATCGGTAAACCGGGCCGTAACGCTGTGGGTATACATAGACGAACGAAACGGTTTTATACTCGACATGGGTTTTGAGCGAAGCATTATTTCGCGCCCACTGGCACTGAGCTTTAAAACAGCAACAAACCTTCTCGAAGCATCGAACGAGCAGCAGCGGMAATTCCCACCGATGCTTTCGAAGGCAAGGGTACTGCTCAGCAAGGTCGAGCAAAACATCGAGAAATACGATGAATACCGCATGAAAACCCAAGACAGCGCCCGGGCACGCGAGAAAAAACTAGCGTCCAGGGAATTCGTCTCGAACCAGGTATACCGAGGTCGCAACCAAAAAAACCGACGAGACGATGGTTCGGACGGCTTCCAGCGAAGCCGCGGCCACAAACTGGTCGAYTCGATTCTCGAATGCTACGAAAGTGCGTTTCGGATGATGATACGAAAACGCAAGGCTTTGGTGCCCCACCATCAGGGTTTCAATAACGACGGGCGTTCGGCTTCGTCTCCTCTGCGAACTTATCTGCACGGACTGGCTCAACGGCAGGCACTTTCCATCCTGTGCGGTTATGGTGGCAAACCCATTGACGACAAACAATGCAAAGAAGTTGGGCAAACCATAAGGAACACCTATACAGCAAGACAGCATGTAGGCGGTGCTATCAAAGGTCCAAAAGCGGTATCGAAACAACAAAGGCAAGCAGYTCGTGCTCTTGATTTTCACCTTCAAAATCACCCAAGATCGAGAAACCGTGTCGTCCCCGCCATCAGCACCGGTGTGAATAGCGAAGTCGTKATACAGGGGGTCGGGGCTATCGCACTTTGCAAGGAGGTCCCAGGAACTATTGCTAGGGGTGTGAAGGTCATGGTGAAAATTTTGGATGTTGACGCTAAGAATGGAAAGGTCGTGGTTGCTCTTGACAAAATCGTCTAATTAGTCCTACAAAACCAAACCTTTTGGTGTACATCAAGAGTTGACCCAYTCCTACCCGTATAGAGAAAAAATAAGACGTSCCGTCCGAAGTTAGCTCTCAGCATAGAATAAGGAGGAATTTACGAACTGTCAGGATCAAGCGACGTCGAATGCGTTCGTTGGTTATTAGAACAGTAAAAATATAATGGTAGTGCTTAGGAACTAGAGTTTGAGGTGTGTATTYATTCGTTGAAAGACGTAATGCGATGATCATAAAATGCCTTGATTTTGAAGTTGGTGGCACACTGTACYGTCCTCGCATGATGAGCTACAGCAGCGGCTAGGTAACGCGGACTTGGCGATGACAGAGGAGGTTGCAACGGGGCCCGTTGTGCCCGCCAGCGTTCCATCGGCCCCAACACAAAACTTCGTCGTTTGTGAGACTTTAAAAGTCTGATTCGAACCACCACTACCCTGCCAAATTGTTTCGTTCTCGAGAGCAAGGGAATAGTGCCCATTGCCGTGCTTACAACAAATGCCGTCACCATAAGAATCAAAAAATACGAACTTGTAGCAAGAATTTGTCCGAACAGCAGCCACATCCTATAGTGAATGTACAGTGAGATAGTGAGATAGGACAAATTGTTTGCGGGTTAGATACATTGAAATCAATACAATTCGGAACAGGTGGTAACATTCGAAAACAAAACGGATCGAAATGCTTCCTCTTACATGAAATGCCATTTGATCAGACCGCGATATTCCCGCAGTATTCAAATCACAGCTATAGTCGACAATCTTGATTTCTTCCAGGTCGACATTACTATCGAGATCAGATACTCTTGTAAGCCTCCATCTATTCTCAGACAAATAYGAATCGGCCGTAACTGCGACTATGAGTGTCAGCGATTCTGGAGGTAATGAAATTGGCAACTCCGAAGGTGACGACGAAGGACAACTGTCGGAGGGTTGCGATGAAGGAGATACGGTAGGCATCACACTGGGCAAAGAGCTTGCGCTAGGCATTGAGCTCCACATGTCAGTGGGCAWTAAGCTCAAGCTAGGCATTGAACTTGGCATAATACTTGGCATAGAACTTGAGCTAGGAATAGAGCTGGGCATCAAACTAGGCTTGGAGCTTGGCGTCAAACTGGGCTTAGAGCTTACACTGGGCA